TAATTTTGACAACTACCCATTTATTAAGGCCCCTATATTAACGGAACTCGTCAGGTTTTTGGCTCCATAGGGTTGAAGCTTTCGGAATCAGGATTTGATATCTGGGATTTAGGGTATTGGGTTTAGGGTTTGGGGTTTAGGGTTTAGGGTTTAGGGTTTAGGGAGGGTATTGGGTAGAGGGCTTTAGGCTCCAGGGTTCAGGGCAAGGGCTTTAAGGACCCAGCTTGAACTACTAGGTCACAGGTCTTTCCAGGGTTGCTTGGAGGTTCATGGGTAGCTATGACTACGGTTATAAGTAGGGGTCACTATAGTGATAACCCCTAAACCCCAAACCGTATAACTGCTTCCCCTAAGGCCAGAAAGTTGGAACATGGGTTTAGGAGGATTAGTGCTAGGATCCTTTACCTTAAAGGGTCTAGGGGTCTAGGGCCCTGAACCCTAAACCCTGAACCTTAAAAGGGTCTAGGGGTCTAGGGGTCCAGGGCCCTAAACCCTAAAACCGGAAACCCTAAAACCCTACACGTCAAAAGGGTCTAGTGTTTAGGGTGCTTGGGATTCTTATACCCCTAACCAATGTAGGTACTGCTTAAGTATAACATTAGGCCAGGAAGTCAAGTTTTTTGGTGGGTACACGTGGAGTCTTAGGGTATGGGAACCTTCCCGAAAGGGTCCTAGGAGTCCTATGTACCTATATCTTAAACTACCAAACCCTACTTTTTTGTAGGGTCCCTATAAACTCCATATTCGGGTTTATAATAAGAACCTACAAGAAAGTGGGTTTTGGTAGGTTAAGGTATAGTATAGAATGTAGCTCTTCTATATTCGGAAGTACGATTATGAGTTTGGAAAGTATCCCCCATAACAATACATACGGCTGATGATATAAATCTTGCATTACCCATAATAAGAAGTATAGCATAATTCCCACCTTAAGGTAATTCAGGATGTATATCATCAACCGTAGAACCCGTTGGGTTCACCAACGGGGATTGCGAAGTGTTTGAAATCCGAAGCTTCGACAGCCCGATGCTCTGGAAAGCCCCGAACTCTTTAATCAGATAGAAGCCTAAATCCCTACCGATACTATTTTGGGGGGGTACCTATATTGTAATTATAGTATAATATACCTCAAAACCCTATTCTAATTATTTATAAATCCTGGCTTGCAGTTCTGCCCGCTGAAAGAAAGAAATGATCTGGTATGCTGGGGGAGATGGTGAGATGAGCATTTTGACAGGAATGCCTTGCCTTCGCACCTGCCAACGTTAAGCCTTCGAGGCAGGTGCTAGCAATGACTTGATCACCTCGAACACGTTTACACTGTCGGTGCCATGGGAATTGCAAACAGCCACTTAGCATCGGACATGACGCCACTCCGCGTGGACGACACGTCTGCCCATCTGTCATCCGTCCGCGATGCCTTCATGCACCATCTGGGAATTTACTTTTGGAGGTAATGCTGGCGTGTCACATACTGCGCCAGCAGCTCGGCGGGTCCATTCCCTTCGGGCCGACGTCGTTCGAAGAGGGGACCCGCCGTCGGGGCGAAACGCTACCTGACGGCGCGACGGTCGCGCCTTCGCGACTGAGGCTTGCCCTTTATGCCCTTTAGCCTTCGCAACGGCCTTCCCTGCAGGCCTACTCGGAGGCCCCACAAGCTGAGGAGTGGCTTCGGCCCAAACTCCCTAAACCACATAAAAAAGCCCTGGACACTCTAAACCCTAAACTCCCTAAGCCACTAAAAAAAGCCCTAAACTCCCTAAGCCCTAAACTCCTTAAACCTCTTGAAGAAAGCTCTAAACTCTCTACACCCTAAACTCCTTGAACCTCTTAAACAAGTCCATGAACTCCCTAAAGCAATTCGAAAAAGCCCTGAACTCCTTACCCCTTAAAGACAGCCCTAGAGCCCCTCCTAGCCAGAAACCCTAAACCCTCCACCCTAAACTCTAAACCCTAAAAGGGCATGGGATAATCATGTTCCAACTTTCTGGCTTATACTTAGGGTTTAGGGTTGGGTTGAGGCTCTGTGTACCAAAATGGCTCCCACCTTCTATCAAACTCGTTAGGGTTCAGGGTTTACGGTTTAAGGTTTAGTCCCCAGAGCCCAAAACCCTACAAAACGCCAAGTTCGGAATATCTCGAATGAATTATAGGGCATGGTAGTAGGGTTTAGGGTTTAGGGTTTAGGGTGTAGGTAACCGGAGTCACACGTTATTGCAATACTAGTCCCTAAATCCCCTTACAAGCTCCCATGATAACTCGCAAGATCCGACTCCGACTCCAACATAAGCACTAAGACCCTAAGGCTCATGGACCCGCATGGTTTAGGGTTTAGGGTTTAGGGTTTAGTGAAAGCCCAAACCTTAGCCCCAATGCCCAAACCTTCCCCTAGAAAGCCCAAAGCAGCTATAAGAGCCTTAGGGTAAAGCCTCAAATTATGAAGCCTAGCGGCACGACCGCTCTGCAGCTCGGAGGTGTAGAACTCATGAAAGGCGGCAAAGTCCTTGTCGGGGACAGGATTCCAGGGCTAAAAGGGTTCCTTTAGCAAGCAACAGCTGACCCCACACCTCACATCCAATACTCCCCCTTACACTTTCACACCATTTTGCAGCCCGCCTGCTAAATCAACCCTTCCAAATCCACAATACACAAGCACCTACCCTAAACCCTAAACCCTAAACCCTAAACCCTAAACCCTAAAACCACAAGACACCAGCACCTGGCGAGTCCCACACCGAAATCCCAAATACAATCCAACACACAAGGCACCAACCAAATCCCACACCGACATCTTAGGGTTTGGGGTTGAGGGTTTAGGGTTTAGGGTTTAGGGGTTACACACAATCCAAACCGAAGCCACCTCCCAACACAACACCCAACCCCACAGGACAAAACAAAATCCCAAGCACCGCCTTACCCCAGAGCCCACATCCAATACCCCCCTCTACGCCTTGACGCCAGTTCTCAACCCGCCTAAAACATCAACCATTCAAACCCACAAACACAGAACACCTCCCAAAACAAAAACAATAATCCACGACACAACTCCAACACAAAGCCACCCACCAACACCCATACAGAGCTGAATAACACAATCCAAAACACCATGCCACTCCTCAAAACCAACACAAGAATCCATAACAAAATCCTATAACCAAAAGCACCCTAAACAACCTTTCCAAAGCACCAGAACCCAAAGAACCTTCCAAAATCCATACCCGGATCTGACAGACAAACCTCCTGGACTGAGTCCCGCCCAGCAAGCTCACGACTTCACACCGACTCACCCAGCTCCGGCATGTCCGTCCTTTTTGTGCTCACAGGCGGCATCTGCAAGCTGCAGCCAATCAGCCTACTGGCAGCTTCTTTCGGCACCCACGATTCTTCCAGCTAGTAAACAACAGTTTTGTGTCTCGTGCAGTGTTGAAACTCCACGTCACCCCCGTAGCCAGCCAGCACGACGAGCTGCACGAGCTAGGTATGGATTACAGAAGATGAGAGGAGCATAAACGAGACAGACTGGAAATTGGTAGTATGAGACACCTAGTCTTAGCCTCCAGATGTACCAATTCAGCACACCAAACACTCTGATATCCACTGATCCGCTGCCTGCGGGGCCTTTGAACATGTTCGACGCCATTGAGCGGAACCACTGGCCAGACCAGAAAAATATATATCCTGGCAAGCGCCAGAACTGGGCCTCGATGTATTTCGCAACAACATACCATGCCTGAGCGATGTGATAGTCTTCTTTGACGTCTTCGAGTGTGATCTGCGCCATGTCGAACAGGAGGCTTGACATTATGCAAGGAAACGCAAGACTTTCAATCAGGCTCCATATCCACCATGGGTCAATTCCACAAGGCTGCCAAAGCTGCAGGATCACCTCAAAACGTAGTGTGTAGAATGCCGCCCGCAGTGGTGTGACGCCTCTATAGCTGCTGCTCCTGTCCGCGCCAGCTTCTAAAAGCAAGCGCACGATGTGATTGTGGCCTTTCCAACTAGCTTCGACAAGTGCTCTGGGGAATGTGTTCGGATCCAGAGGAAGTTGCAGCATTTCCTCAGCAACGGCAAGGTTGCCAGAATGAGATGCTGCATACAGGGCATTAAGCTGGTCTTCCGAGGCATTGGCATACGACACAATAACAAGTTGCAAGTCGATGGGTTCTTGCAGCGCAATCAACGAAACATGGTCTTCCAGCACATGGTCATTGTGCAGGAGTTGCTGCCTGAATCGTGGCTGCCCACAAATCCCATGCAAACGTTGTTTCAATGCCCGGACGGTACTTACGCTTCTCAAGCGTAGCGTGGCAAGATTCTCCCCCCCAACTGTCCACACAACGACTTGGACTGACATGCAGGGCCAAAGTGACTGGCTAGATGGGAATGTGTGTTCTGATGTGTGAAGCCGTGCATGCCGCTGTCTACCCCTAAACCCTAAACCCTAAACCCGCTTTCTTGCCATGTTGCTCCGCAGACGCACGAAGTGCAACAGTTCTTGTCTTCGAGCCAAGTCTTAGAACAAACCAGATAGGAGCACTACTGGGCTAGGCTTTGTTAAGTGCTGCTTCGCGGCTCAACCTCGACACCCTGTGCACCAAGAAACGAGGCCCAAAAATATGGATGTCTAGACGTATTTCTAAACCAAGCTTCTTCCGGACAGGTTTGGGTTTCCTGAAAAAACTGCTCTTGTTGGGGGGGCAAGAATCGGGGACAGTGGTGTTCCCTGGTCTCTGGCCTGCGCTGCCCTACACATCCCTACAAGGTGCGACCGGAAAGATGTGCGACTTCGAAGTTTCATGCACATAGCATACAAACAACTTTCAGTACTCGCCACAGAACTCATTGACAGCAACACTACACATGTCAATATGTTCATCAAGAGCCCTATATACTCGAGCCCAAACTGCTAAAATGAGCCCTGCTTCACATAAACCCTAGACCCCCTAAACCCTACTTGGCAACACACGGTTGATGATATAGATCCTGCATTACACCATAATCAGGAATATACCATAATTCCCATAGTTTAGGGCCTTGAGGTAATGCAGGATTTATATCATCAACAGTATGAAACAGGGCTTCCGTCTCTGCTAGTATCCCCAGAGTAAACTCCAAAATATAAACCCATCAACCCATAGCAGAAACACTCACCAACACACTCCTAGCCTCAACTGCCTAGGTTTATGCAAACCCTGCGCCCCAAGCCCTGCCTTCCCTAAACTAGGTCTCTTAAACCCTTTACCCCCTGAAACCCTAAGTCACCCATACTGTAGAATCCGTGAACCCCAATTCTTGAGTCAAACCCCGAACAATGATGCGTCGTCCTGCCATTCCGGCACATCCGGACCTTTGGAATGCAAAACAGAGGTTGTTACAACAAAGGCCGAACTTTAAACTCCGCGTAAAAACCTGCAACTCGATTTAAACCCTAAACCTTCTTTAAATCCTGGATCATGACGCACACAGTAATCTGAAGCCTTGGTGTAGGGTGCAGCATTTTGACGCGTGATAACTTTGGGTTTTGGACTTTCGGACAGACCAGCCTCCATAAACTTTCGCGGTCTACTTGTTTAGGGTTTAGGGTTTAGGGGTTTAGGGTTTAGGGGTTTAGGGTTTAGGATCTACTTGTTTGCGGCTCCCTACAAACTCCACAGCAATGTCTCCCATGGATCTCTAGTAATGGGGTTGGCGTAGCCTTTTAGAGTTATAAGTACGATAACCCCAATTAGGATCCCAATTAGGGCACCTATAACTCTACTTATTACCTACTCACTAAGTCCTTGGACCCTCCAAGCAGAACTACACTTCTCATCTAAGGTTGAAACCATGCACCCCTAGTATGGGCCCTTAACCCTGGGATCCTTATACACCTACTATATACCCTATATGTAATCTTAAGGGACACTAGAACCCCCCCCTAAGGGCCCATAGTAACCCTAAACCCTAAACACTAAACCCTAAACCCTAAACCCTAAACCCTAAACCCTAAACCCTAAACCCTAAACCCCAAACCCTAAACCCTAAACCTTGGATCTCATGTCCCGAGGACCGGGTTCCAACTCAAGTTCCCCACAAGCCCGTATCAGCTAAAGGAAACTACAGGTGGGGAGTCTAGGGTTCCTTTAAAAAAGGGTTTAGGGTTTAGGGTTCCTTTGAAAAAAAGGGTTTCGGGTTTAGGGTTTAAAGGAAACTACAGGTGGGGAGTCTAGGGTATATAGAGCTTCTATAATAAGGCTTCCATAAGGTATATAGACCTTCTGCGAGGCTCCTATAACGATAATCTACCCACCTGAAAATGTCCTCAGAGCAAGCCCCAACCAGCTCCACTACAACCCTACTTACGTAGTCCCTGAAACCCTGAACCCCGAAACCACGGATCCTGTAGGTAGGGCCCCTAAACCCTAAACCTTAAAATCCTAAACCCTAAACCCTAAAGACCTAAACCCTAAACCCCTAAAGGGGATCAGGCTCGGAGCATCGTCTCTGTGGGATGAAGGGAATCAAGACAGGGGCCTCCATAATTAGGCCTTACCTGGACCCTAAAGAACCTGCCTTTCAGGGTTCATTATTGTTATTTCCTTATATAAGTCCATCAAAAGGTAAATTCTTTAGGGTCTAGGTAGGGGAGGGATAGAATTAGAATCGGCTAAAACTGTTTCTGTGACTGTAGGGTTTGATTACGAGTAGGTTTTCGTGGATTGCTTTGCAAGGGCTCACCATGTAGGATTGTAGGATTGTACAGGGCCGTGTGATAACGCTTTCATACTCCAGTAGGTTTTTCGGGTCTCTGGTACTGTGACTGTGACTTTCATGAAACCCTAAACCGTAAACCTTAAACCTAAGGGGGACACAGTATTACAGTTCTTCAGCAGACTACATACTGTGCCGGTTGGGCTTCGGGGTTTGGCGATGTATGCGGGCCTCTGCACCATGTCCCAGAGCTGTGGTACAGTTGGAGGTGTATGGTGTTTGGGCAGTGCCGAAAACGCGTGAGGAGCCAAAGTGCTGATGTACGAGCAACCATGCATCAATCTTATGTCCTAATCACCCTCTTGAACCATTGCGTATAATATATAATGTCTTGCTCGAGCACGCTAGCACACAGACAGGGTTCAAGGCGCTAGTGCTCCTTATAAGGCTCCTTTTCAAGGCTCCTGATAGCCCTTTCGCCGGATAAGAGAGCTTCTTGCAACATCGTTCAGCTTCTCCCACATCCCTCACTAAGGTGAGCAAGTCAAGGGCATAGGCTTTATGGTGTGCTAAGTGAAGGCGTAAAACCCAAGAAACCCCGAATAGTACAGAGGGAGGAGGTCAGTTTAGGGCTGCACTATGACTATAACAAGGACTGCTATTAGGGGACACTATTACAGTTATTCCGACCCCTGTTATATTGCACCGATTCAGTCCCTGGCGCAAGCCAGAAGAGTGGTCGTAGCAGAAACCTCGTCCGCGGAGGCAGCTAAAATCTCGGCCTCGCAGAGAAACTTGTTTGCCCAGAGACTCCCAAAACCACAATCAAGGAATTTCTTAGTAAGGAACATATCATATATACCTTGAAGTACAGTATTCGTCTGATTTAAGGAATATCCATTACAGTATAGTATTAACCTGATTTAAGGAATGTTTCTTAATATCAACCAGCTAAGGAAACTTGTAGTCTGCGGGTTCCTGGTGGGTTTAGCGCTCTGTAAAGGTTCGATAAATGGGACTGTCCGAAAATTAGGGTACCTGACTTCGGGGTCCTTGTAATAAGGAGCCTGTTATTTAGGGTACTATATTAGGGTCCCCTATGTTTGGAAACCCTAAATTAATTCTTGGTAAGAGGTCCAAAAAGCTTTGCAGAAGGGTTCTATAAGCTTCTATACGGGTCCCTAAATTCTAAACCCTAAACCCCGAAACCCCTAAACTGCTATAGAGCTTCTAGAAGGACTGGAAAAAAGATCTAGACGGGCTGTTTTCAAGGCTCCTATAAAGATTCTTCAGACAAAAACTGCGCTTGGCTTCTTTTCTTAGTACCAGTCTCTTCTTAGACTGGAAAGGGCTAATAAGGGCTTAGGGTCTAGAATCTATAGTCGGCGGGAATAGTTAACCGGGCTGCCTTATTTGTTAACACTGGCAATAACCCTAAACCCTAAACCATAATATTAATACTGTTTATAAGGACTTAGGATTTACGGGTTTAAGGTAAGGTTCGAAGCTATCTCGGTTCCTTCCTCTTGAATGTCTTACCTTCGTATTTCCAGTAGGGTTTAGGGTTTAGGGTTTGGGGCTCGAGCCATCAGTTAAGACTCGAAGCCTCAAAGACTGGACATCCGAAGAAGAGAGAAGAATTGCAGCGCACGGCTTGCCATTAAACACATCAGGCTTGCGCAGGAATTCGTAGGGTTCTCTATACTTCCGCTCGCTTTGGCAATCCTTCACCCCTTACCCTGAACCCTTAACCCTAAACCCAGGGCCCTGAAGCGTAAACCCTAAACTCTGGAACCCCTAACCCTCCACTACCAAACTCCGAAACATCAAACCTTTAAGCCTCAAGCCCCTTAACGCTAAGCCTCCCAACCCCATACCGAATACACGACCCTACAAACTCCCATGGAAGCCCATGTAAACCTATAAGATATCAACCATAGACCTATATCAAAGCCCTTTCCCAGTCTGAATACAAGAGCCCGAAACCTGTTAACCTTGTAAACATGATGTTGACTTGCGTGAATGCTGGGGCTAAGGATGACAGAAGCGTTCTACACCTATATATGGGGAGATGGCCATACTCTGGTGTTCTGGTAGGTTTGCCTGACATCAGAACGCTTCTTGCAGGAATCCCCGAGAAAGGGAGCGATAAACACGGTTCAGTCCTATTAACGTGTAATATAGCTGCCGCCTCTACCTGCGTGGTAGCAGGGTTTAGGGTTTAGGGGTTTAGGGTTTCTTTTTGTATCACCTCTTTGCCTTCGCCTCTTTAGGGTTTAGGTTTTTTTTCCAGGATGGCACTGGCCCCAATGTCCCCAAAGCGATAGTAATCGCGATTGTCTTCCAACGGGTAGCCCCCCTCTCCCCATCCGCGGTAGCGCCCGCGATTTGTTTCTACAGGCAAGATGGTATATAGGCCCAAAAATACCCAAAGCGATAGCGCTCGCAATTGTTTTCCAAGTGAGAGCCCCCCCACCGCCGTAGCTCTCGCGATTCTCACAAGCAACGTGGTTTGGAAAACGAGATCGTGCAAAAATCACGAACTCGCGATTTGAAAAAAACGGGTTCGCGAAACAAAAATCACACTCGCGGTCTAAAAAACGACTTCGTGAAAAACAAAAATTCACGAACTCGCGATCTGAAAAAAACAAATGCACGAACTCGCGGTCTGAAAAAACGAGTTGGTGAAAACAACTATTTTTTCACCAACTCGCGGTCTGGAAAAAAAGAGTTGGTGAAAAAAACATTTTTTCAACCAACTCGCGGTCTGAAAAAAAACGAGTTGGTGGAAAAAAAGTGTTTCAGCAACTTGCGGTCTAAAAAACGAGTTGGTGAAAAAACGAAAAACACTCACCAACTCATTGAAAAGAGGAATCAAAGAAGCGTTTGGCGGTGAAAATAAGGTTGGTTTATGTGTTTTGCTCCTGCAATAAGGTTGTAAACAAGCGTTGGTGCGCTCAGTTGGTGAACGAATTGTTTTTTTCACCAACTCGTTTTTTTCAGACCGCGAGTTGGTGAAAAAAAGGTTTTTTTTCAGACCGCGAGTTGGTGAAAGTTTTTTTTCACCAACTCGTTTTTTCAGACCGCGAGTTCGTGAATTTATCTTTTCAGACCGCGAGTTCGTGAAAAAAACTAGTGTTTTCACGAGCTCGTTTGTTCCCGCCAGTTGGTGAATCCGCTTTCGCAAACTATGCTTTGCAGGGGTTTCTCGGACCTACTTTCCGTAGTGTCTGTGTTCAGGAGTCAGGAGATTGTTTGGGTTCCTGCGCACAACTTCATGCAGGAAGCGTCGGCACTCACAAGGCTTTGCCTCGCCTACCGGAGCGACATGAGATATTGATCAGTCGCAACAACAAGCACCACCTCATGTTTCGGCCCAACGCAGTCAACATATTATTTCAAGATCGGCCTCAGACCTCCATCCCACCCATCCAGAATTCCCCGAAATACATTCCCGAAACATATACTTACACGAAACGCCAAATATTAAATAAACAAACCACAAAGAACAACAATGTAACAAGATACAATAACACATGAAGCGTTAACACGCCTTCCATACTTATTTTGCGATTCGCCACTGGGCTCTGGTAGTGTGTGTAACGCTTCCTTCGGCGCTATTTCTCTGGAACACCTTAACAACAGCATTCACGCAAGTTTACAAAACATAACAGAGATTTATATTACCGGTCAAGGCTTTAGGGCTTTAGGGTTTTAGGGGGGTTAGGGTTTAGGGTTGTTGTAAAGCCTAGGCCCTAAAGCCCAAAGCTCCGGTCCAACCATAGCCTGCCTCGGCTACGATGTCATCAAGAACCTCAGATGACTGGGGGCCTTAGAAATACAAAGGCGTCTGTCTACAGGTTCCTAGGCTTATAGTGGGGCTCCATTGTGCGAGGGCCTCCAGCGCCGAAGACGATGAGGCTTCGGGCATCGGTGCGAACTTCCAACTCCGACTGCGTCAACCAAGACTTATGGCTCATAGGGTTTAGGGTTTGGGGT